CCTAGAGACCTATCATCGTGGTTTATAGCGATGGTGATTATCGCGTGGTAAATTACAAGTTTATTGGTGGTTTTCAAACCACGTGACATTCGCCGGAGATACGGATGGTATGATAAATATACTAAAATGTATCCAGACTCATTCTCATATAAGCATAAAATCTGTCAAAGTGGTACGTCTTAAGCTCTTTTAATAGGTGGTGGTATTCTACTAGATAGTGCCTTTTTTTATTTATAGGACGAGCCGAAAGCTGGCGATATAAAGAATTACAAATAATCCATTCACTTGAAGACATGCATTCACTGTCGTCACTACTGTTGCTAATGTACATAATTTTATAATGTAAAAAAAACTACCTTTTCCGGAACACATGTAAGTCACTCAGAAACTCATGTAAGTCACTCAAAAATTTAGCTTCATATCGGTCGCGTTTACCTACGACCTACATTACGACCGAGCTTAATGTGTCCCTCCACCACTGGTAAGTAAGTTGCCTTTAATTAAATTGAATTATAGGTATACAAAAATAGGTAAAGGTAAGGTCAAAAATAGGTAAAATATTACAAAATTTATAAAACTCACATTAAAACCCTTCCAGCCTCTCTAGATCTGTAAACATCACATGTATGTAACGGTCCTACATGCCTACCCGCCCTGCACATAGCTTCATATATTTGAAATTCTAATAATAAAGCCACGAAATATTTCATATAAGGTAAATCTGCTGGGACGTGTCGTTTGGTTCCCGCGTCGAAATGAGCCTCCGATCTTGGTACTGGGGGTATAATTCCTTGATACCTTAATCTCAGATCCCACCAATCTGCATTCATTCGATTTACACCGAGTTCTGAAATCTGGTAGCGCCACTAAAATAAAAATTATTATATATTCGATTAAAATTTGTTGTTCAATTGAATACAGTACGAGTATATTGCTGTCGCATAATTAGTAGAAGCAAAGTATGGCACTTTTATTATGTAAAAGTGGTTTAAGTTAAATTGGCTGAAATTTGCAGTGTAGTAGCTTTGGCCATGCTGATCAAAATTATCATTGCGCAAAAACTCAGAGATGAGTTGATTGTTTATGAGTTACAGAGGTTCAAAGTCTCGGTTTTTGTCTTTTCAAATAATACATATCTAAAAAATATACAGCTACGGACTATAAACCAAAATTTTGAAGCTCTGTAACCCAAAAACAATTGATTTCTGAATCTTAGTGCGAAAAATCTTTTGATCAGCTGATTTAAAATTTAAATCAATAATTTAACTGAAACAACTTTTACATAAGTAAATAAGGTAACACCAGGAATACTTGCACGAATACGGCAACCGATGAGGCTAAGTGTTGCAACTTGTGTCTCGTGCCAAGAAGGTAATTTTGAACATTTTTGTAGCTATGAGTTTATTTAAAATTATATCAGAATGTCTATTTTTTGAATAAAAACAGCAACTTATACGAAAAAAGAAGAAAGATTTTCTGACAAAAATTATTGAAAATTTCAACAATAATTTTAATTTTAAAAATCTTGCTGGCGTATTATTTTTTTCATCAAACAAATTGAAAACATTACCCGTATGTGCGTCAACTTTGAATATAAAATTCCTAAGAGTATGTCAAAAAATGCGCAATAACCAACTCTTAAAACGCATCAAATTTAAAATTTGATACGTTTTTGAGGCAAAAAATAAATCGTTAGGTTGTAAGAAAATTTTAATTTTTTTTCTCGTATCTTGGAAAAGGAAGCATTTGATGTCATATTTCTACATAGTAAACTGACATAATTTTTCATACAGGTTGGGAGAGAAGAACCAACAATGAATTAATGGCTTTATACAAAGAACCTATTATTACCAAGTTCGTCAAATCACAAAGAATCAGTTGGTTGGGACATGTGGAAAGAATGGCAGCAAACAGAATGCCTAAACTAGTAATAATCAGAAAATTATTCGGCACCAAAACAGAGGTAGACCCGAGAACGAGGTGGATTAGTAAAGTGGAGGAAGACATTAAACACGTGAAGGTGAGGGACTAGAAAAAAGAACAAAATAGACGCGAATGGAGAAATATTGTCCACCAGGTCCTTCAGAGTAGTTAAGAATGTTGTATATACACATTTAAGTTAAAGTTTTGTTTATAATAATTGTAATTAGTTAATATTAGGTTTATGTTTTAAAAAAATGAGCTAGGCCTTAACGGCCTGTTGTGCGTAAAAATAAATAAATAGAATATTATTACCATGTCGGCGATGATGTGCAAGGTACCTGGTGGTCAGGAGGGCCTCGTGTTCTAGAGTTTTGTGCAAAATTTCTATTGACCTACACCTTGTGCTCAGGTAAGTAACGGCCTCTTTGCGCATCGAAGTCCATCATTGTTATGATATTCGTTATTAGCGATCCCAAAATCCCCCGAGTGGCAAGTTTACACTGATTTTGCATCGAATTTTCATATAACTCTAAAATACGATGTCCTTCCTGGCGCCAAGTGCCTCGCACATTATCGCCAATATGAGATTTATGATCAGTGATCCCAAAAACCCACGAATAACGAATGTGCACTGATTTTGTATCAAATTTCCAAAAAACTATGGCTATTCTCACTATAGTGCTTGGCATCTGCTCGGCTTGTGCCCTGCTCGAGACCTGCAAAATTACTTTATCGTTATTTAAATGGGTTTAGCAACGGTCCGTTCTCACTACAAGTGCTCGGAGTGGAAACGGTCCGTGTCCGGCATCGGACAATCTTTTCAAAAAATATTTTCCTAGCCGATGCCTGGCACATTCCTTGCACAGTCCTACATAGTGTGAATACTTCAGATGAGTTTCGACAGGCAAAATGGTGCGAAAAAAAATTATTTTCACATGATACTGATGAATTTTTAATAGAATTAGTTCGTGAGAGAAGTAAATTATACGATTTTATGAATCGACTGTATGCAGATGCAGCACATAAGTCTCAGGTATGGTGGGATATTGGAGAAAAAAATTAAAATAGGTCAGTAAAACACTATATTTTATCTAGGTAATAGACCACTCCCGATAATATTTTAAACAAAAAAAGGAGTAGTGGGATGAAACTCGTTGGAAAAGAAAGATGATATGACAGAAATAAAAGGAAAAATAATTTACGGGCGAGCTGAGTTCGGAAAATGGAGGAGAGTGAGTTTTTTAAGGGCAAAAATTGCTTATCGTGATTTCCTAGAGCAAGTCGAACTACATATCTACTAAAGCAAGTAGAACTACAGAAAAAATCTTTTTGTAGTTAAAGTAGAACCACTGGAAAGTTCCAGAAAGCTGGAACCACTATTGATTGGTGCTAAAATTTTGATGTGCTTTCCATTTAGGGCTCCTAATCGCTCTCTCTGTCTCTCTCTTCAATCCTGAACTCCCAGGGGGAGTGTAGTGGTCGACGTGATGTCGTGTATTGTCCGTCTCCAGAGATCTCTGTCTCTGGTCATTTCTTTTAATTCATGCATAGGTCTTTGGCATATTCCTGTAATTTGGTCTATCCATCTTGTTGGGGATCTTCCTCGTGATCTTCGGCCTTCTACCTTTCCTTGTATTATGAGTCTTTCCATGTTTTCTGTGTTTGCTTTCATAACTGCCCAAAATTTTTAATTGTTGGAGATGGACTTTACTAGAGAGTCGTTGGCTAACTTTTAGCTCTCTTAAAATTGAATTATTTGTTCTACGGTCGGTCCAAGGAATTCGTAACATTCGTCTCCAACAGAACATTTCAGTGGCGTCTATCTTTCTTCTCTCCGATTGTCTCAGAGTCCAAGATTCACATCTTTAGGTCAGTATTGGAAATATTAAGCAAGTGATCAATCTCATCTTTATCGCTCTTGAAATTTGACAGTCCTTCCATATTTTGGTCATTTTTGCTGTGGCAACTTTTGTTGGGAAAATTCCATGCCAACCAAAATTTTTGGCAATTTGTTCAAAATCGCATTCTGCTGGTAATTCTGCTGAAAATCATCCGAAAATCTGATTGACTTATCATCCAAGAGTTCTTTATACAAGGTATAGTATTCTTCTTCTATTTTTCTTTTCTTAATCATTGGATGTATCCAAAACCTCCTTTTTTAACTTTATCTCTCATATGTATCTCGCTCTTCGGCCTCCAAAGTAAAAAATGCAATTTTTACTTAAGTTGCAGTGGAAAACATTACAACTGCACAACTACCCACCGACACGTCTAACCGACTGCTTGTGCAAAATACCGCTGAAAGCATGCTACGAGCGCGAATAGTGTGAATATTTACCACCTAAAGGAGAAGAGACACGTCGTGACCACTAGGTGTTTCAAAGACCATTGCCTATATATTGTTAGTGTTCTGAGATCCCAAAAATCTCCGAGTAACGAGTTTGCACTGATTTGCACTAATTTTGTATCGAATTTCCACAAATCTCGAGGAGACGAAGTTTTGGTGAACCAGATACCTCGGAGATTACCGCCGTCATGATATTCGTGTTCAGTTACCCCTAAAATCTCCGAGTAGTAATATTGAACTCATTTCCGTCAATTATTTCCGAATTACAAATTTATCATTTTTCATCACTTCGAAATGCACTTAGGATATTGCATTTTCCTTGCGAATCCATAAAGTTTAATTGAGATCCATCTTACTGCAATAATTTGATAGGTTTTGAGCTTTTTACTGCTTAATTGTCTCGCCTACTAATTAGCATGTGTTTTGTCTTTTTATTCTCTAAATAGCGACTCTATCTCATACACTTATGATTAAATAAACTAAAAACCAACTGCTAAGTTGACATTTAATATTTTGAATTCCTAAATACAAACCTGATCTATTAAGAAAGCAAAGGGAGCATACGCAACTTTTTTCAATGCCATTAACATTAGGAAGTTGATGTTTGTTTCAATAGTGTCGGTGCTGTTATTAAACAGTCCGACTCTCCATAAATGCTTTGGATTAAAAACTGATAAAACTATAGCATTGGCAAGGCCCTCGTGAAAACCTAAAAATAAAACAAATACATTTAAGTACAGATTTTAAATATATATAAAATACACAGCGACAAATGCAAGGATATAACATGATATTTAAGATTTTTTTTTGAACCTATTCTCTATCCTTCCATTGTTGGATATAGGTCTCCCCCAGTTCTCTCCATCTTTCCCTATCTTGAGCTGTTCTCTGCCATGTGAGACCTCCTTGTTTCCTGATGTCATCTTTCCACCTCATCTGTGGTCTGCCTCTTGATCTCTTTGCATTGTATGGACGCCACTTTCCGATGGCATTGTTCCATCGTCCGTCTTGGAGACGTTCATTGTGTCCAGCCCATTTCCATTTCAGTTTTGCTGCTTGTTCTATCGCGTCTACTGTATTTGTTCTGGTTCTGATCCACTGGTTACGTTTTCTATCTTTAAGTGATACACCCAACATTTGTCTCTCCATCGCTCTTTGTGCCTTCCTTATCCTATCCAAATCGGCCTGTGTAAATGTCCATGTCTGTGCTCCGTAGGTGAGCACCGGTATGATACAGGAGTTATATACCTTGCTTCGTAAGTACAGAGGAATTGTTTAATTTTTTAGAACGTAAGAAAGTTTGCCGAACGCTGCCCATCCCATTCTTACTCGTCTCGATATTTCGGCTGTTTGATTTTCTCTATTAGCTCTGATTGCTTGTCCTAGATAGATATACTCATTTACCTGTTCTATTTTTTCTGTTTTTATTTTTATTGCCTCTTGGTCTTCCGTGTTTGTCATTACTTTTGTTTTGTTGAAGTTAATTTTTAGGCCTTTTTGCAGTGATTTTTCATGAAGTTCATTCAGCATTAATTCCAGTTTTTGTCGTTCCGAGGAGATCAGGAGTATATCATCCGCATATCTAAGGTAATTTAGGTATTTTCCGTTAATACATATTCCTTTGTTTTCCCAATCTGTTGATTTTATTATGTCTTCGAGGGTCAAGGTAAACAGTTTAGGTGAAATTATATCGCCTTGTCGGACTCCTCGTTTAACTTTTATATTATCCGTTATTAATTTGTCGTCCAGAATTACGGTCATTGTTGCGTTTTGGTAAATATCATGTATCAATTGTCTGTATCTTGAATCTAGTCTACTATTGACCAGAGCTTCTTCAACCGCCCAGTGTTCAATGCTGTCGAAAGCCTTTTCATAATCTACGAATGCTAAGTACAGCGGAAGGTTGTATTCATTGGTTTTCTCAATTAAGATTTTAAGCGTATGTAGATGGTCGATTGTGCTGTATCCTTTTCTGAATCCGGCCTGTTCCACTGGTTGGTAGTTATCAAGTTTATAGGTTAGTCGGTTGTTTATTATTCTTGTGAAGGTTTTATATAGTTGTGACAAAAGGGAAATAGGACGGTAGTTGTTTAGGTCTGTTCGGTCTCCTTTCTTATGTATTAAGATTGTGTTGGCATTTCTCCATTGTTTGGGTATTTTACTTTCAAACAGACATTTGTTGAACAGTATTTTTAGCATTTTTTTTATCGTGTCTCCTCCTTCTTTTAGCAGTTCCGCCAGTATTTTGTCCTCACCGGCCGCTTTATTTCTTTTCATGTCGTTTATGGATTTTTTGATTTCATCTTCAGTTATGTCTGGTAATACCTCTGAGCCAACATTTTGTATTTTCCTCGTGAGATTCTGTTTAGATGATAGTGGTGGGTCATTTTTAGAATTGTATAGGTCTGTGTAATATCTTTCTGTGATTTTTACTATTTCTCCTAGATCTCTTTCTTCACTGTTCTCAGCTTTAAATAAAATACACATGATATTTAAGATATGTCAAACTAAAATATATATAACAAATGCGAACGATCCAGCAAATAGTCTAGACGGAATACAAAGAATTCAACGAACTTGTTCAACTATTTGCTAGTGAATCGCACCGGTACGCAGAATGTTTCAGCAGCAAATTCTATGGAACCATCTTAATTTTTTACTTATCCACTTTGGCGAAGCATACATAATAAAAATAACCCCGGTAAGTGCCGGTAAGAATTTACTTCTGACATTTAACATTGTTACCGTTAGCTTTTAGTTCAATTTGTAAATATCACCTTCAATTGAAAAATGTAATAGTATAGTCGTATAATATGCCTATAAAAGAAAATATTATCTACCTGGATTGGCTCCTTCTCTGTATAAGTAGGGTTGGTCAGCATAGTATAGATAATATTCTACGTGAGCCATCTCATGATGAATTGTAACTAAATTTTTCATATCAACTTCTGTACACTGTTTAATCCTGTAAGTAAAATGAGACAAAGTTTTAGTCAAATTATTTTCAGTATAATTGTTTTAATTTCAGAAAGTCTATTTAACTTGAAAGCATAACATAATGGTTTGCCAGATTCTGCATTCGAAATTTGTTTAATACTCAACAATGTGTTTCCGAGACAAAGACTGTTTCATATAAATTTAAGTTGTAGAAACGTTTTATGAAAGATTTATTTTGCGCATAATTACGAGGACTTGCAAAACAAATATATCATTACCTTAATTTGCATAAAAAATACAGAACGAGATGGAGTAAGAAATCAAAATAACTCAAAACACAGTGCTGCATTACAACAATGAAAGGAACACATTCAAGAATTATTTCAAGACTAGACATAATGACAGTCAGAGCTGGTATGTAGGACCACAGATTACTTCACGAGATTATTCATGCAATAAGATCGATGAAAACCAATAAAACTTCTACTCCAGACTAAATACTAAGGTAATAAAGTTAATAACTGACAAAAACACTTAAATTCTTATTTAACTTTTGACAGTAAAAGTGATTCTTGTCATTATTAATTTTTATTACTATGGTAAGAGACGCCATTTTAATATTATTTAAAAGCTTCAAACAAAGTTTCTTTTAAACTAATTAAACTTTTCTTGCTGAAGAAACAAACATTGTTAGGTACATATATTTGTACATATACAGTGAGAGAAATGATTGGAGAATTATTGAAAATAAATCAGGTTGGACTAACATACAAAACTATATCCTTGTAGTGATCAAGAAAAAAGAAGAGGAAGAAAGACAACTGGACCAACGGCAAGGATAAGAGTGAAAGAGGCTGGAAGTTGAAGCTACAAAAGTGAGTTAGAATGCGGGAGCCAGGCTGTGGGGAAAGAGCAAATGCCCGTCTGAGAATGATGCCGAACTAGGAGCGATGAGGGTCTTCTACGCGCTACCTGGAACGAGACTGGGAGCCTCTTTGCTGATGACTAGAGTGTGGATGTGAATAAATGGAGAATGAATAAACGAAGGTAGTGCTTCGGAAGTAATGTCAGCCTGACAGCGGCTATTTCGCTTCCGGATCGCTGGATGACAGAAGAGGGTCCGGTTTAGCAGGTAGGCGTTCGGCATAGACTCGGCGACGAGAACGCATTTTAAAGTACTTCGGGAACTATCACCAGGAGTACAAAGAACGAATCCTGCACTAAAGTCAGTCAGGCGGCTTCCTGGACTGAGATGTCTTTTGAAGATTCCAGCCCCTCCTCTAGAAAGACGAAAAAAAAAGGTACATATATTTAGTAATTTTTTGATCGATCATTATATCAATTTTATGCTCATGTAGTTTGTTGTTAGCTTCAAAGTAAAATACCTTGGAGGTTTCCGTTTGAAGATGTCCAAAATCAGACTTAACCAGTAACCAAAAAGGTTACTTAATGTCATACCATGTTTCTGAACACACACTAGTATGTCAATATCGAGCTTGGACATATTTTTTTTAAATTTATTAATATTTCCTGTTTAGTATAGAGTTGTTGTCACACTCCATATACTAACATTTAGTTTTTGGTAAAAGAACATTGTTTTTTCACGAGGCAGTTTTTGCACATAGACGACGTAGGAGGCTCCGTGATTAGTAAGGTTATTATATGGTACCATCTGGTACGGACTTTCACTAAACACTAAGAAAACAAAATGCATGATGATCTCTAAGAAGAAACAGCAATTTGGACAAATCAGTGTAAACGGTCAACAAATAGAAAGAGTAAAAACATACACCTACCTTGCTACAAACGTAAAAAAAATTGGGACCATTCCATAGAAATCAAATGTAGAATAGAGAAAGCAAGATCTGCATTTCAAAAAATGGCTAAGTTATTCAAATGTTATGATTTATCAATGCCCATAAAAATCAGGTTACTACGATGTTACATCTTTCCTATACTGTTGTACGGAGTTGAGTCATGGACTCTCACAGACGCCACCTGCAAGAAAATTGAGGCTTTTGAAATGTGGCTTTATCGTCGCATCCTGAAGATATCGTATACCGACCACGTTAATAATGAGGGTGTTCTGTTGAGAATGAAGGGAAAAGTAGAAGGAAAACGGGGACCAGGAAGGCGAAGGATTTCCTGGCTAAAAAATCTACGAACGTGGTTCAACACAACAACCACAAATCTTTTTTAGAGCAGCAGTGTGCAAAGTGCAGATTGTCATGATGGTCGCCAACATCCGAAACGGATAGGCACTACAAGAAAAAGAAGAATAACCATTTGGTTATTTCAGGAAATTCAAGGAAACTGTAATACAGCGGTTTCCCGTTGCCTTCTGTATCCATATGCATTCTTATTGACGTTGAAACAGTTCTCAAAAAACATCTAATCGCATACCGAACAGTGAATCGAAAAACACCGATTAATCGAAAAGTTTGACGTTGACAATCTATCGCAGTAAAAGCCACAGTCGTAGCATATTTTAAAATTGCTTACCAATAGAATGACAATGTTTAAACAAAATCTTTGTTTTGTATTGTCTTGTATTGTAAAAATTTATATTGTATTTCCATTAAAAAACTTTTACCTATAATCTATGTTATTACAAAAATCCCACGCGCTGGCTGTACATTGAACTTTTCGCCCATTTGGTCGTTCAATTAAAGAATATCTCCAAAATTCAGGAGGCATAGGCTTTAATCCCATGGATGTAAAGAACTCTTCCGCCATTTGGAACATTCTATAAAACAAAAAAGTAAAATTAAATACAACAGATTATTCAATTGATTAAATGATATATTCAGCGTTATATCTTTTATGCTTTGCGTTTCAGTTCTTTCAGTTCACTTTTTAATCTCAACATCTTTCTTTATGCATCACAGGATTATGGTTTAATTTTATTGTAGATATTATAAAAAAATATTTACAGAAGAAAATTAAAAATGACAAGGAAAGTACCAACATAAAGCAACGACTACAATTTGCTAAAAGGGTAAACAAGAACACAAAAAAATAAACACATTAATTAATAACATAAACTACCCACTTCTTTACAAAAAATATTAACCTACTCATTGCCATAAAAAATTAAAATATCCACCCCTTAAAGAACGTTTAACGAGATATGGTTTTAACCTGGAGCAGTTGACACATTCTTATCCTACACAACGAGCTACACTTCCTTGGACTACTAATACTCCCACTACTGATATCCCTCACGACCTATCCAAAGAGTACCACAAATCCCATAATGATTAACAAGTTATATCAAGAACGAATATTAGAATACACTCGTGATGACGATTTCTCACTCTCAGTTTTAGTTGTGTCTCAGTGTGGGAACAGTCAACATGCTTTCAAAAAAGCGTAAAGTGCTTTCGGTGGAAAAAAAGTTATCGATAGTCAGACAATAGAAAAAGGCGAAAAGCAATCGGATGTCGTTCGTCGTACGGAGCTGTCTAAGTCAACTGTGGCAACGATATGGAAGGACAGAAATAAGTGGCTTAAAGCGGAAATAGAGGGCAATAGCAGAAATAAGTTGCGGAAACCCCAGTACGAAGATTTAGATCCCGCTATGTTTCAGTGGTTATAGACGATATTTTTAATGTTGATGAGACTAAATTGTTTTTTTAAAGTGACACCTAACAGAACTTCTCTCTAAGCTCTAAGGAAAGCTCTCTAACGAACTCATTACGGTTTTAGTAATGACTCATTAGCATGATAGGTTCAGCGAAGAGAAAATTGTTAGTGATAGGGAAGTCCCAAAAACCCACGTTGCTTTAAAAACATCAAAACTTTACCCGCGATCTACAAAGCAGACAAGAGTGCGTGGATTACTTCAGTAATTTTTAAAGAAGCCATAAGAAAATGAGATGATGAGCTTAAAAAAAAAATCTTCCATTAGTAGACAATTGTGTTACTTCTCCTTTATTATATACCTTCAAAACATTGAACTTTGATTTTTGAAGAGTTTGAAAAGCCATTACAGAAGAAGACTTTTATGGAATTGGTTTGAAGAACAATGGCGATCTCAAACAAACCGTTCTTGATGCCATCCTAATGATTAGTAAATCCTGGAACAAGGTGACGAAAAATACGATAAAACATTCCTTCAAATCAGCAGGATGGCTGGAAGACCAAGGATTGACTGTGGATAAAGATAATCTGCCGTAGCTATTTGGGCCAGACAGTTTAAACTTTCTATCAACTACGGACCGAAAGAGCGAACAGATTTCGAAAAAGTTGATCAAAATGTAGCTACAATAACTTGACTTGTCCTCTGATGAGGACATCCTATAAGTAGTTCGTGTAGAAGAAGAAGAAGAAAGCAGTGAAATACAAGTGGAATCAGAGTAAAAACCACCTCCGACCCCTCGGCAAGCGTTTGATGCGGCAAAAGTAATTTATTGTTTTGATGTTGAAGATTCTATGCGTCTTCAGGACAAGGTCAAGTCAGTTCTGTGAAAAGAGAAAAGGAAACATGCTGCCCATCCCATTTTTACACATTTGCTTATTTTGGTAGTTTGATTTTCTTTGCTTACTTTGACATTTTGACCCAGATATGTATATTCATCTATGAGTTCTATCTCTATCACTCGGATGTTTATCATAAGTTGTCATCTTTGTTTGGCATTAGTTTAGTTTTGCTGAAACTAATATTCTGTCATTTTTTAGCGATTCTGTGTGTAGCTCCTCAATCATCGTATTTAGTGCATTCCAACTGTCGGCTATTAGTACTACATCATCTGCGTATCTAAGATGGTTCAAGTATCTTTCCTTAATAGGGATTCCCTTATTTTCCCAGTCTATTGACTTAAAGATATCTTCTAGGGCAGCTGTAAATGATTTTGGAGGTATTGTGTCTCCTTGTCTTACGCCTCGGTTGATTTTTACTGGTATTGTTTCGATTCCATTACCTAAAGTCGCTATCATTTCAGCTTGTTCGTAAATATTATGTATTAATATTCTGTTCCTGGAGTCGATCCGGTTGTTCACTAATGCTTCTTTTATTGCCCACAGTTCTACGCTATCAAAAGCTTTTACATAATCTATAAAAGCCAGACATAATAAGAGATTGTATTTGTTAGCCTTTTCTATTAGGATTTTCAAAGTATATAGATGGTCACAGGTGCTGTACTTTTTCTATATCCGGCTTGTTCTACTGGTTGATATCCGTCAAATTTAATTGTTAACCTGATTGTAATAATATTTGTAAAGGTTTTGTAAAGTTGTGAAATAAGTGAAATTGGTCGACAATTTTTCAGGTCTATGATGTCTCCCTTTTTGTGTATTAGTATTGTTTTAGCAGTATTCCATTGTTCGCGTATGTTGCCTTCTAATAGACATTTAATAAATAGCATTTTTAGATACGTGATGGCTTCTTCTTCGCCTTTCTTCAGCATTTCTGCTAGGATTCCATCGTTTCCAGGAGCTTTATTCCTTTTTATTTCTCTTACGGTTCTTTCTATTTCTTCGCGGCTTATTTCGGGCATCACTTCTGAGTTGAAATTTGTTATCTGCCGTTTCAAGTTCTGCTTTGAGGAGTTAGAGGGATCGTTTCGAGAACGATACAGATGGGCATAGAATTTTTCAATTGAGTTTGCTATATCAGATTTATTTTTTTGTAGTTATCCTTGTTTATTTTTAATAGTTGTTATGTTTTTTTCTAGTTTCGCTTTGGTGCATTTGATACTTTGGTTTTTCTCTATGACTTGTTCTATACGGTGTTCTTGTTGTTTTTTAATGTCCTCTTTTATCTGTTTCCTTATTACTCGATTAAGTTTTTTAAAGTCTGCAGTGTCGTATTTACTACTGTTACATCCTGTATGATATCTGTTTTGTTACACAGTATGTAATCTATTTCGTTACGAGTTTTTCCGTCTGGGGATAGCCACATCCACTATATTTAAGGTTTTTTCTTATAGAATGTGTTTATTAATATATATTCACTCATATATACACATTATATAACAGAGTAACTTTCGGCCAACCAGGAGGGTTCAAGACAAAAAAAAGAGAGATCAGTTTAAAATTCTTAATACAGTAAAGTAAAGGATTGATCATTAAACTTTGACAATTGTACTATGATAAAGTTACCGATTTCCGAACCAAAATATTTCTGCTTAACAATCCGTGCACTTTGCATACTCAAAATATCCAAAGTTATAACTCAAAGAGCGCTTTGTTAATATGGAAAATTATAATTTAATTCTGGCCTGTAACAAGTTAAGTGTTGTGAAACGTAGAAGTTCTAAATGAATTAAAATTTAATAGTAGAACCGCCGTATAGATCCTGCTGCTTTACAAGTAACCGAGAAACACTTTAGGTGAAGTTGCTTATGCTGTTTATTACATAATTCCAAATTCTTTAATTTGTCTTAGTAGTTCAGGTGGTAGATTTTACACATTTAAAGTGCCTTTAACACAAGTAATCTAATAGAGAGGGAAGCCGGGAATGCTAAAATAAATTTAGAACGAAATATAAACAGAAAGAAGATTGACATGAAAAACAAACAAAAAACAGCAATATTAAAAAATATGTTCAATCACAAATTAAACCCTTAATTTGTAATCTCACATTAATCTTAACCCTTAATTTTACTGTATAAAATTGTAAAAGATAGGTATCTATAACATACTTTAATTACAAGGTTATTTACCTTCCGGTCGAATTGGATCAATTGCTAAATTCTATTGTAATAACTTCCTAGTTTATAAGATCTTCTTCTTCTTCTTCCTTCTTGTATGTAGGCTTTAAAACCTGTTTCTTCTTTAATTTTAGCCTCATAAATTGTTTAAATTATCGCACTATCCTTTTCTTGGTCTGCCAATACTTCTTAGTTCATCTAGTGACTTATTTCGTGCTATTCGTACTACCATATCCTCTGTAATTATACTAATGTGTTCGTTCCACTCCTGTTTCCGTTTTGTCACCCATCCATTTATGGTTTCTATATTGCATGCTCTTCTTATGTTTTCGCTTCTCTCTCTATCCAACAGACTTTTTCCTAATATTCGTCGGAGTATTTTCATCTCTCTTGTTTCTAGTAGTCGCCTTGTTTTAGATGTGCCAGGTCTTGTCTCCGCTGTGTATGTTAATATAGGTCTAATTTCTGTTTTATAGATTCTTGTTTATGTGGCTTGTCTTATGTGTTTGTTCTTACAGAATGTGTCATTAAGAGATCTCGCTGCTTTACTTGCTTTTAAGCTTTGTTGTCGTACTTCTTTTTCAACATCTCTCTCTCTCTCTCTCTCTCTCTATATATATATATATATATATATATATATATATATATATATATAGTTTGAATTTAGTTCTTGAACCTTAATATATATTTTAGTGGATTCTCTTGGGCTTAGGTTCATAAAAAAAATTTAGTTTGATACTAAGACATTTTTATATATTTTTTTCCGACGTTTCGGCAGGAAATCCATGCCTTTTTCAAGAATATATATTGACTAAAAAACAACATTTCATGAAAGACATAATACGGTTTAAAAAATAAACTTTTGACTTACCAAGCATGTAAATATTAGGTATTAACAATTAGACGTCACAATTAAGAGAATATTAAAACATAGGACATACCCACTAAGTCACTACAAGTAAAATGTATTTTAAATCTAACGTATTATTTATTGATGTTAGTTTATCGTTTAAACAATCAGTTATTTTAACATCATAGGCGTTCTGAGATTGACTTTTTATGTGTTTTTAAATTAAGTTAAAATATATTTTGT